TTCTCAAAGCAGAAGAATAAATCGGCATAGCATTATACATAGCAAGGGAAGTTCACTGTACTTCTTTTGTGCTTTATTTTCAACTGTATTATTCATCCCGTTTCATACACACAATGCTCATAATCGCTATATACAGTTGATTTACAATAGCATTTTGTTTATTTCAATCAGATTATTCATATCGAAGGATGCTTAGTCTATCTCTGCAATTCATATTTTGGCAAACATAATCATTATTTTGTAACTGATTTACCGTAATACGTTTCAAAGGTATTATATAGTTATTCTGCTTTGATTTAACAACAAAGGAAACTGATTTAACAAACACTCTTTTTGAAGAGGTTCAATATTTGATATCATTCCCCGATAGACACTATATTAAAGCAGTTTGTTACAAGAAATTGGGAATGTGTGAATTCTATTTCTAATCGTATGGATTAGAATGAGAATAGAGTATACTTTACGAACAGTGTTTGCCAGTGATATGAGCCAGTTATTAAAGAAATTACTACTTTTTTTCTTCTTCTTTTTTTTGGGGGGGAGAATATTTTGTCTCGTTTCCAAGAAAAATTATTTTCTGAAGTCACATTTTCTGTGGGATTATTCTTATCTCCTCTACTGTAGTCACTTTTCATTCCCATGATCCATTGATTTGAAGATAATAAGATTTAATCATCAAAATTTTCAATTATACTTATAAACATTTTCCTTTCTGAATGAATTATGGCATATTTGGTAATATATGATATCTCACACTGACTTTTCAAAATAAGATTTCAGAATGGTTACAGAGCTGTAAACAACTTTATTGTTAAAATCACGTTACTTAATCGTTATCAAATAGTACCAAGACAGTACCTTCACTGTCACTTTTCACTGACTTCAATTATATCCCAAATCATTTTTGCCTTATTTTTAAGGATTACAGAATAGAATATATTGTCACTGCTATTGACTTCATTGACATAAAATCTGTCGTGATCGTACACTCGCGCTTAACTCATTTTAAGGGTAAAAGATTAGAATTCATAGATTCTTTTATTGCAGTGTATCCAGTACATAATGAGTTTTTGGCATGATTTAACTACAGATAATACCAATAATTCAATCAGCCTATTGCATCATATCGTACATTAATATATTTGGCATTGCAGACTAGTTGAGACTCATAGCAATGTGACAAAATGCATAAAAATAACAAGTTCACTATTGAAAAGGATTTACAAATAATATCGGTCTACTTAATAAAATATACAAGCTTATCTAGACAAAATTACAAAATCTAATACATAAATTGTTGACAAAATTATGTATGTCAGAATTCATCGATATTACCATACATTAATTATCCTAATTATTGTGTTTCATCTCGGAAACATATGTAGCATGTAACCTTGACAACTACAAGCACCATATACATTATGTATCGACATCACTCATGAAAAAAAAGAAAATTGGTAAAGTATTCAAATCCATATCATATATTTTTTTCTCGATAGTCTCACAAGATTTTTCTAACAAGATTCGGCATTTCAGGAATCTAGTATGTGCTGAAGATTCTTTGGTATATAATACAATAGGGATACACATACAAAGAGATACACAGTGGACATTTTACTTATTGTGACGGGCATGCATTGAATATTGTGAGACGAGGAAAGAGAGAACAGGAATATCCTCTGACTAGGAAGAAAATCGGACACTTTCAGCTTCTTTGCATGTTGAAGGTCTGCAGGTATTTACACGAATCCCTTGTTTTGGTTGTCTTCCTCACTGCTTTGAAAAATGTCACTGCTATATTGCTATACCAACATCTCCAAAGGCAGGTTTTGTGTGTGTGTTTTTCAGCTTGTATGTGTTCTTCTTTAGAATGTATGACACCAATCGGAATTAACTTTCGTAATGAAACTAGTTAACAAAAATTTATAAAAGTTTCATTACTCCATTTTTCCCAGCAAGCTGTAATCTACGAGTATTTAGTTCTTTGGAATGCCTGAATAAATATTATTCATTGTAGAAAAGCACAGCATGAGATAATAGATGTATGCATAATAATTAAAAGACACATGCACAGTCTCACCACATCTATGTACATGACATTCTCTGCACTGCACCTTGTTACCAGAACTTTTTCAGCTTTTAGATACAGTATCTGTAAGGCACCATGGAACTTAGCTTACTGAGAGAGCAAATGATACTCAATACAGAAATCCTTTCACACTTCTCACATGGTGTCTAACTGACAACATACACTTTCACATTTCTCTATGAACTGCATACGAACATCTTGCTATCATTTTCTGTTTTGTACTGTGTGAATATACCAGACCAGCTGTGACAGTGACATAACAAAACAGCCAGTTATCTCTCTAACAATTATATCTTAACACCAACTTAATGTAAATATACGAGAGAGACACTGTCTTTTAGAATGGAAATTTCGATCACTGTTCCTTTTTCTTGAGGTACTCCCTGGGCACGAGACCGGTGCGTCCCTTGAGTGTCGCTCTCCACCACCCAGTGCCGCTTGTCACGTCGTGGACCAAGATGGTGTCTCCGCGGTTGAAGCTCAGCGCCTGGTCGATGGTGGCGACGAAGGCAAACTTCGCGACGTAGTATTCTGTAAGACGGGGTCATGACCTTAGATGGTGCTAAGACGTCAGAAAATCAGATGATGATTTATTATTATACACATGTATATGTGTGTGTGTGTGTGTGTGTGTGTGTGTGTGTGTGTGTGTGTGTGTGTGTGTGTGTGTGTGTGTGTGTGTGTGTGTGTGTGTGTGTGTATGTGTGTGTATGTGTGTGTACGTGTGTGTGTACGTGTGTGTGTACGTATGTGTGCATGTATGTGTGTATGCATGCATGTATGTATGTATGTATGTATATGTGTGTGTGTGTGCATGTATATACATATATATATATATATATATATATATATATATATATATATATATATATATATATATATATATATATATATATATTAATACCATACCTCCACTGGATGTGTCGCTGGAGCCGAAGGAATGCATGTATGTATGTATGTATGTATGTATGTATGTATGTATGTATGTATGTATGTATGTATGTATGTATGTATGTATATGTGTGTGTGTGTGTGGTGTGTGTGTGTGTGGTGTGTGTGTGTGTGGTGTGTGTGTGTGTGTGTATGTGTGTGTACGTATGTGTGCATGTATGTGTGTATGTATGCATGTATGTATGTATGTATATGTGTGTGTGTGTGTATGTGTGTATGTATGCATGTATGTATGTATGTATATGTGTGTGTGTGTGTTGTGTGTGTGTGTGTTGTGTGTGTGTGTGTGTTGTGTGTGTGTGTGTGGTGTGTGTGTGTGTGTATGTGTGTGTACGTATGTGTGCATGTATGTGTGTATGTATGCATGTATGTATGTATGTATGTATGTATGTATGTATGTATATGTGTGTGTGTGTGTGTGTGTGTGGTGTGTGTGTGTGTGGTGTGTGTGTGTGTGGTGTGTGTGTGTGTGTTGTGTGTGTGTGTGTGGTTTTGCCATATCTTGGGAATTTCTCTGCGAGGCGCTCTCTAAGCTGCTGTCATCTGGCGTCTCGTAGTAATCGTCGTCCGAGGCGCTCCTGGAGGCCGAGTCACAGTTCCTGTTGTCTTCACTTGCTCTTGGCTTTACGACTAACGTTGCCCCGTTGGCGAGGTTGTGCGGCCGCGGCGGCAGCGCCGGTTTGGCGAACCTCGATTCCGCTTCCGCCGCCGGGGGTGCGGCCTCCTGGGGCTGGGGGGTCACCTGGAACACGGCGCTCGCGCTCTTCGACGAACTCAGCGGCCGCACTGGCTCCTCGCGGGTTTTAGACTTGATGTCCTTCTCGACCTGACTCTTATTCTGGTTGATTCGCGCGATCATGTCCTTCACCGAAGTGCCCTGGTTGGGGGCCCTCTTCTCTTCCTTGGCGTCTTCTCCGGGCAGCGAGTTACTCTTCATCTCAAACCGCCTCGTCAGAGCTTTAAGATTGTTCTTGGGATTCGTGTCCTCCTTGCCGCTGAAGAAAGATGTCAGCGGCTTCGTTTCTTCCTCCACGATTGAGTTCTTTCTGTCATTGCATTTTGGTTTAATGGGAACGAGTGCCTGTGATGGAGGTACCTGGTATGTCTGCATGGGCAAGGGAGCCGAAATCTCGCCCACGGAATTTCTTTCTCTTGCGTCATCGGTATCAGTGGGCACCGGGTTCGAGCTTGGAATCTGATATTCCGTGTCCGCAATGGCCGAGGTGGGCACTTTGTACTCCGAGTCGTCATCTGGCGCCTGGGGGTACGGAATGCCCTTCGGCGGCAGCTTCGGTGGGGTTTTCGGAGTGGATGATCTGAGGGAAAACTTATGCGGAAGGGCGTGCGTGGAACTATTTTCGGATATGTTCATGAAAATCTCGTCACTCAAAGAACCAACGAGGGAGTTCGAGGACATCCTGCTGCTCAGAGACTGCAGGTCGCTTGGCATGCCTTCGGAGGACACGGCCCTGGGCTTGTTGGCGTTGCTCGTCAGGTTCCAGTTCTTCTCGTTTTCCTCGGCCAGCCTCTGCTCGTAGCTCTCCCTCCCGGCCTCCAGCATGTCGTCCTCGATCTCACAGTAAATACCGATGGGATCCTCGGCGCCTTCGGTAGTCTCCGAAGGGGCGTCGGGCAGGGGCCTGGACGCCTGCTTGTTGACGCGGTCCTGCAGGACGGTGGGAAGAGGGGGTCTGCCAGGAGGGCGCCTGGCTGAGAGGGGCGGGGGGCCTTCGGGCAAGGGCGGCGGGGAATCGTCGGGACTGACCTGGGAAATACAGGTGAGGAGTCAGACGCTGGACAATGAGTCTCATTTCCTGACCATTTATTGGAAAAAGAACTTTACTCGAAAGTTACTGACTCGAAACACAAACAAGCAGTTTTCTTTATATAGATATTTGGAATGTCACGGAGCTGTAATATATACATCAGCATTCCTTATGGTAAAACTTGACAAGTGGAAGCATGAGTTCCAACGAGAGAAAGATCATTCCTACTCACTGGGTCGTAGTCAGGTGGGTCCATCACCCAGGACGGCGGAGGCTGAGTGCGCGCCGGAAGGGTCTGGCTCTGCCCCGCTGCCAAGACCCGTCCTGCCAAGCCCTCGGGCCCTACCTCTTCGTAAACCTAGTAATATAACGGATGGGAATCTACCAGGCTGTTTGGAATGAGGTCTCTCTCTCTCTCTCTCTCTCTCTCTCTCTCTCTCTCTCTCTCTCTCTCTCTCTCTCTCTCTCTCTCTCTCTCTCTCTCTCTCTCTCTCTCTCTCTCTCTTTCTCTCTCTATCCTCCTCCTCCTCCACCTACTCCTCCTCCTCCGCCACCAATTCCTCCTCCTCCTTCTCCTCCTCTACCTCCTCCTCCTCCTCCTCCTCCTCCTCCTCTACCTCCTCCTCTTCCTCTTCCTCTTCCTCTTCCTCTTCCTCTTCCTCCTCTTCCTCCTCCTCCTCTTCCTTCTCCCTCTCCTTCTTCTCCTCCTCCTCCTCCTCCTCCCCCACCTCCTCCTCCTCCTCCACCTCCTCCTCCTCCTCCTCCACCTCCTCCTCCTCCTCCTCCTCCTCCTCCTCCTCCTCCTCCTCCTCCTCCTCCTCCTCCTCCTCCTCCTCCTCCTCCTCCTCCTCCCCCACCTCCTCCTCCTCTTCCTCCTCCTCCTCCTCTTCTCTCCTCCTTCTCTTCTCTCCTCCTCTCCTCTTCTCTCCCCCTCTCCTCTTCTCTCATCCTTTCCTTCTCCATCTCCTTCTCTCTCTCCTACTTTTCCTTCCCAATTTCCTTCTCCACCTTCTACTCCTACCTTTCCTTCTCCTCCTTACTTATCTCTCTCTTTAACCTTCTTCCTTCCCTGCTCCTGTCTTTCTCTCCCTCGACTTTTCCTCCTTCTCTGCTCCTACCCATTTTTCTTCTCTTAATTTACATCTCCTTCTCCTCCTTTACCCATCTTCTTCTCTTTACTTTCCCTCTCCTCTCCTTCCCCCCCTCCCCCCCCCCCCCCCCTTCTGTCCCTTTTCCTACCTCTTCCTTGTCATCCGCAGAGACGTCATGGTAGTAGTAGTCGTCCTCGGCTGGTTTGGCGTCGTCCTTCTTCCCCTCCTGCTGGAGCTGCGGTGCTGGCTTCGGCGGCAGAATGAGAGGGCTGCTCGCTAGTATCTGCGGCTGCGACAAGCGGTGCGTTTCCTCCGACGAGATCAAGGTGTCCAAGGCAAAGGTCGACTGGCTCTTGCGTCCCGACTTGATGGTTCGGTCGAGGGCGGCCAGCCACTCCACTTTGTCTCGGGGGGTCCGGGCGATGAACTGCGGGAGGAAGGAGACGTTGGGGAAGGCACTAAGACCACACATACACATCTACCTCTTTTTTTAATATGCTTATGCTGATGCATGTGTGTGTATATACATTATATACTTATTGTATTTATATTTTTCTTTCCCTAGCCTCCTAGTCATACCGTGTGGGTCTTCTTCCCCGGACCAACGATCTCGAAAGCTGAGTCTTTCTTCCGCTGGTCTCGGATGTCTTCCCCCGTGGCCATCCGCGCCGTGTAGCCGCTGAGGTCTATGGTCTGCCGGAGAAAAAAATGTATATATTGCCTACATAGCACCGAAATTCATATTGTAGATATGTATACCTTTATTAGACTGTGATCTTTATTCAAATTATTCATTTCACATTTCATTTATTTACTCCATCATTTAAGTCATTAATTCTAATTGTCATTTGTTCTACTCAGAGGCAACATCCATCTCTGGAAAGAAGGAATGTTAAGTACAAAGGATATATGAACAATTTACATCTTATATCTTAATATTACAGCAAACCATAAACAAATAAAAATCATGAAAATACGGCAAACTGAATTTCCTCGTCAGCGACCTCACCTTCCGCTGTCTCTCATCGGTCTCCTTGAGGAAGAGGTAAAGCATGCCGGAGGAGGCGACGCAGTGGTAGGTCTTGAGGTTCCTGAGGAGGCCCTTCGTCTTCTTGCTGAGGACGCCATGCTTGTCACACGTAGCTGTTCGTGGAGCCGAATGTATTAAGTCGTACTTGAATATATGTTCATATCTATTGGACTGTGTATTGCGAATTGTCTTCACGTAAGTTAGGGATGTTCTATTAAGTTTTATATTTTTTTAGTCATACTGTTCATGTTATCAACTCATACCTGAATGTGCGTTGATATCATACCATACTGTATATTTCATATTGCTTAATTTCGTTCATATTTGTAATACGAATATAATTCATCCGTGAGTCTCATAAATGCAACGGATATATCATATCACCTATATTTTTTTCTAAAGTAATCAAATTTTCTATGTCTAAGTTGCAATAAAACCCACCTATGACATTGCTAAAGGACACGGCCTCCACGCTTTCCATGTACACGTCGTCCACGTCCTCCTTGTCGTCTGCGTCGTCCCTGGATTGGTCCTGCAGCGAAGTTGTGTCGTTCACGGAGGCGATGTCGTCCTGTCGAACAGAGAGAAATTAATTCCCTGCCATGATCCCGCAGCTGCATTAATGTACCGTGAGATACATGTAAACTCACTTGTGTGTGTTTTGGTACAGGTAGGTAATGAAGTTCGTGTTTCCTAAACAGCAAATGAAAATAACAGTTGAACAGCGGAGTTTGGTACAGTGGAATTTAAGGGAGATCGGAAATTATTATTAACAAATAAGCCCCTTTACGGTAGTGTTTAATATCATTATCTCACGCCGTAGGATGATTTCTAAAGGTATTTTCTTGAACTATTATATTAAACAAAATTTTATTATCAAAATATCATTAGCACCATAAGAATATCTTCTCAATATTCAGCTTAGATGACTTAAAACTGCCCCAGTACATAAATGTTTCCTGATCTGGGACTACAAGGATGCGGAAGAGGGGGAGCCGCCAAGAGGCACGTGCCGAGTAAGCTTACTGTAAAAGGTAGTGTATTTATATTTACCTCTGGTATGTATTGATACTAGCTTTCGTTCTAGACTTCCTCTTAAACAAA